CAGAAAGATCCACGGCGAGAGGAATGTCTTCGCGGGCATCTTCCGCAACCTCATCTTCTGCTCCGTGGTCATGGGCACATTCATTACCCAGGTGGGAGTCCCGGAGACCCAGGGAGAGGGGTGGGGTCGGCGTCGTGAGGACTGAGGGGCTGGGCTGAACCCTTTGGGGTTCCCTAACTACTTCCCTTTGCACATCGCTCCGGCCCAGGAGCCCTGGGGGTTCCCGTGCAAGGCAGCCCACAACCGGCTGAGCAGATCGATGCAGACTCGCTCGCAGAACCCTTCCCTTGGGTTTCAGAACGACCCGAAATAGCACAAGCTGCCCAGGAAGAGGAGGCTCACCCCTTCCCGCCCCAGCCAGCACCCACGACGTGGTAGCACGTGCGGTGTGGGCGCTCCCCTGGTCCCTGGTCCTCAAGGGGTTCATTATGAGAAAGCGCTGTGCAGCTCACAGGGAAGGTGAAGTGGTGGGCTGGCGGTCGCTGGCAGAGACTGCCTGGCTTGGGGTGCTCATCCTGCGGGAGCTGGGACGAAGGGACTGGCTGGTGTCCTGGGGGTAAGAGGATGGAGTCCTCCCTTCTTGCCCTAGCACGAGACGGGCTTGTGCCGTGACGGATGCACTCCCCCTCGCCCCACAGCAGGCAGTTTGTCCGTCCCAGGTCCTACCCTCCAACGTCCTCTCCTCCATCACGGCCCCTTCCCTTGTCACCAGCCCTCAGTGTTTCTGAGAGTTGCAAGAAGCTTCTAGGGTCCCCCACTCGCCCAGTTCTTGTGTTCATGGTAGTCATAGTGACTGCATCTCTCTCCCGGGCAGAGTATCTACAAAGGCTCTGTGTGTCTGCCGCCTGCCCCCTTTCTCGATTTCTTCCACCTCCCTCCTAGGCGCGCAGAATGGGGCTTGCACCAAGAGGTCCTGGTGGTGGTTGGGGCCTAGGTGGGCCTGGGTGGAGTGCTGGCTCCCTGTTGCCTGTGACTCAGCTCCTTCATGGGGGCCGGCCCCTTCCTCTGTTGCAGATAATCATCGTGGAATTTGGTGGCAAGCCCTTCAGCTGCACCAACCTCACCCTGGCCCAGTGGTTTTGGTGTCTCTTCATTGCGATTGGAGAGCTGCTGTGGGGCCAGGTGAGTGTGGGCACTGACCTCCCCCTCCGCTGTGTAAGGTGGGGTGGTTTTCTGAGGAAAGCTGAAAAGATTTGGCTGTCCTTCCCACCAGGATTCGCCCCTGAAGGCCGTGCAGATGCTGTGGGTTAACCTCATCATGGACACTTTCGCCTCGCTGGCCCTGGCCACAGAGCCCCCGACAGACTCCCTGCTGAGGCGGCGCCCCTACGGCCGAAATAAGCCTCTGATCTCACGCACGATGATGAAGAACATCTTGGGCCACGGAATCTATCAGCTCACCATCATCTTTCTCCTGGTCTTTGCTGGTGAGTGGGGGTGGGGAGGGGAGGCCGGGCACAGGAGGCCACGGGGCACGGCAGGGCCTGAGGCCAAGGACAAGAGCGCTTGACTTAAGGAGGCTGTTTCACGATGTGCTGTCAGTCCTAACCCCTGCACTGGTGTGGACTCTCGTTTAGGAATAGCGTCTTCTCGGCTAAGAGGCCTAGCAGTGTAGGTGTGTTTTAACCCAGTCACCTTTGAGAGGACTACATTGCAGGTGAGGCGGAGAGATGGGGGAGACAGTGAGGTCTAGGGATGGAGGAGATGCCAGGCCCCATAAAGATCACCCAGGAAAGAGGAGAAGCTCAGAATAGACCAGGATCTTCCTCCAGAGTGGGCAGAGAGGAAACCTTAGCTCAGAGCTGGCGCCCTGCACCCAAGCCCCCTAAGGGGGGAGAGAATCAGCTCCCATTGGTGGAAGCTGCCCACTGGGGGTTCTGCTTTAAACCTTGTCTCTCCAGATGAACCTCTCAGGACCAGGGGTGACAGTGGCGATACCAGGAGGGAAAGGGGGTGTAGAAAGGGGGAATGGATCACAGGGAGCTACATATA